TTGTTTGTATGTGGTGCTGAGGATCGAACCCGGGCCACACGCATGCCAGGCGATGGCGCTACTGCTTGAGCCACATCCCCAGCCCCTGCTCTGATATTTATACTTCTGTATTTTTAAAACACCTGCTTTTAAAAAAATATGGCTGTAGGCAAGGGGTTGCTAGATATAGCATACAAAACTTAAACTTGAACTTCAGATAAACCAACACTTTTTTGGGGGGAGGGTACTGGGGATTGCATTCAAGGGCACTTAACCACTGAGCCACATCCCCAGCCCTGTTTTGTATTTTATTTAGAGACAGGGTCTCACTGAGTTGCTTAGCACCTCACTTTTGCTGAGGCTGGCTATGATCTCAGGAACTGCTTGCCTCAGGCTCCTGAGCCACTAGGATTATAGGCATGCACTATCACACCTGGCCAACATATTTTTAGTATATGTAAATCCCATGTAATCTTTGATTTGAGGATTTGATCTGTGAAAAATATTTTAGGCTAAACTTCTTGTAAGCTATCTTCGTGACATTTTAAATGTTTCCTCATAATTTGTGTTCTGCAACAAACAAATCTGAACTCTTAATGTGGAAGAAATTTTGAGGGCTGGGGGTGCAGTTAAATGGCAGAGTGCTTGCCTAGCATACACAGGACCCCAGGTTCCATCCCCAGCACTGGAAACAAAACTAAACTAAACAGAAGAATCTTGTGATGGGGGATGTTCCTCTGTGATCTAGCTATAACTGCAGAAAAGAAAAGAAAAAAATTAATAATATTCTTTTTGGGCATATACTTATTGCATAATGATCCATTTTGAGTAATAAGGATTTTGAAAAGCTCCTTACACATTGAGGCACCTAGAAAGCCATTACCTGAGCCTGGGGAGAAGAGACCCATGGAGACAATAAGCTTCCATAGCAGGTGATCTTTAGGCTCAGCTCTAGGAGGAAGTGAAAGCTACAGCACAACTTTAAAAAGACCTGCATAAGCATTAAAGGAAGGTCCCAATAGAGAGCCAATCTACAAAGATCTGGAGAGCATTTTATTTTTTATTCTTTTCTGGTCATCATTTTTTGTTTCCTGTCTAGCTTTAAACAAAAAAATTAAGACACATGCAAAGAATAAGAAAGTACGGCCCAGTCACAGGAAAAAAGAAAAAAAATTAATGAAAACCATCTCTGAGGAAGGATACATTGGATTTACTAGATAAGGGCTTTAAATTAACTATTTAAAAAATGCTCAAAGATATAAGGAACCATGGACAAAGAACTAAAGGACATCAGGAAAACAAATGTCTCAATAAATGGAGAATAGCAATAAAAATAAATTATAAAAAAGGAATACAAAGATATAATGGAGATAAAAAGTAAAAAAAAATTATAATATTCACTAGAGTGGCTCAATAGCAGATATGAGCAGAGATAAGAGGAAAAAGAATTAGATAATTTGAAGATAGGGAAAATAAAATTATTCAGTCTGAAGAACAGAAATTAGACGAATAAGGAAAAAAGGAACAGACCCTTTGAGACTTGTGAGACACTACTGACATTACTCAAATACACAAAATGGGAGTTCTAGAAGGAAAGAAGAAAGAAGGGGACAGAATATTTGAAGACATAATGGCTCAAAACTCCCCAAATATAATAAAAGGAATGCATCTATGCACACATCCAAGAAAT